CTGCTTTATGGATACCTTCGTGGAAAAGTTAATGAGGGAAAATGGCTCGTATTTACGTTACTCAATAGGAAATCACTAATCTCATGCAGTTCAAGACTATTCGCGTAAATGTGAACCCGCGTAGAACAATCAGTCTCAGCATTTACTAATTTCTGCTGAAATAAAAAAAAAAAAAAAAAAAAAAAAAAGCATAATGTGTGATAAAATTAGACTTAAGGAAAGTGTTCCAGATTAAATTTAAAATTATATTTTTGTCATAGATATATCAACATGCGCACACAAACATATACACACACATACTGTTTCATATGAAAAATTCTGTGATCACATTAAAAAAAAGGGGGGGAAAGCTTTGAGTCGTTATACTGAATTTTATAGATATTTTTAGTCTTTAGAAGGGAGGATGAGTTAAATATTTTCTGTCTTCTTTCTACAATTTTATCTGATATATATATATATATATTTGTATAACTGATATTTAATAAATAAAGGTAACACACAAAATGTTAAAAAGGAAAAGCCTCTTTGGACGTAATATAAAATCTGAAACCTTTCAGATTCCCCCCCCCTTAACTCATGGTAATGTTTGCATAAAATTTGTATTGGAAGAGCTTTAGTTTCTTTTAATAAAAGAAATTTCAGTTTCTAGAAACTGTACTTCATTTTATATTTTCTGCATTACAAATTAGACAAAAAATTATTGTCAACTGAACTTAAAAATAATTGCTGTACATAATGTCATTTGAGATACAAACCATATTATACAAATACCCCGCTATATGTAGGATTTCGAAAAGAGAAAAAAAGCGAATTTGTGTTTTCTGTATAAATTTCCTTGCATATTTTAGTTCAAACAATAGCCTGCAGGGAAGAAAATTTATTATTATTTTTTTAAACCTGAGTGGCAATCAATATTTATAAGGGGTATTTCTCCCGCCTTCTTAGCGAGCCTTCGCGGTGTAGTGGTCTGAACGTACGCGTAATTGAGAGGTCCGCGGTTCGATTTCCGGCGAAGGCGTTGCTAATTTTTCATCTTGCCTGCTTCCAAAAATACCTAATGTCTCTATAAAGTAATTAGATTCTCCAAAAGCTTGGATCAGAAAAGCCCTTTCGTGAAATTAAACTAACTAACCAAAAATCCCTAAAGCTTTTTTGTATCACCAGTGACAGATATTGAACCTTTCTTAGCACGTAAACAAGTCAGAACATTCTTCTGCAATCCGACGACAGGAAAATAATTTTTCTTAGTCGTCGTCCAATTTTTAGGGGATAAATTCATTTTTAGGTTCTCTGAGTTAACATCTAACTACGTGCGTATTTCACGGAAATTCAGTTTAGATACTAAGAATATATAGGTAGAAAAAATTATCATCTTTGAACAACATAGATTTTTGTTCCTCAGTTTTTTTTTCCTTGAAGTAACCAGACGAACAGAGCATAAAAATTTAAGCAGTTGCATAGGTGATAACTCAAGAGTCTTTTTAACTAGTTATTGAAATTTGTACCCATAGAGAGTATGTTTTTTAAAATTTCGGACTATATACCACTTTTTCGTAAAATCAGATTTAAACCTGATCTATCCATAATTTTTTTTAACGTTTAAAGAAAGCATTAAGTTTTACCTTCGTGTTCCATGGACCCCTTAAATGTTTAATAGTAGGAACATTCCAAATCATTATACATTTTCAGGAACATTCCAAATCATTATACATTTTCAAAAATGTCCAAACGCAGTTTACAAGTTCAGATAACTGCATAAATAATATAATTTCATAATTTAAGTCAGTTCTAAAATAAAGCTAAGTTTAATGACTGAATTCTTTTCTTCCTTTTTCACAATTAGTTTCCTTTTAAGTAAATTCAAGCAGACAGTTAATGGAATTTAAAATTTCTGTGTTGTTACCTGAATCGTTCCCAGCTAAGATTAAATAAACAACTACTTTGTTCTGCATTAAGAATTGATCTAATTGTTTTCTAAAGCCTTCGCGATTTCCTTTAACCTTAGGTTAACTTTCCTTTAACCTTAATTTGGTGAGCATAAATTTCGAGTCCGATAAAGCAATTATGACAATGACAATCCCGAAGACACACAAGCAAACAAAGAAACAAAAAACATATTTTAGTTTGTTTTGATATCTTAATCAAACTTTCTTTTCCAATCTACAGACTGTCCTAAAAAATCATATATTTTGTGCAGGCATTCTTTCAATAGAATGTAGAGAATTAAAAAAATAGTTTGTAAATAAACAAAATAATCAAAAAGATACAATCAAAATGGGAATATACCTATATGCTTAGTTTACATATATATAATATATGTATATATGCATAATATGTATATGCATATATGAAATGTAATTTCTCATACATTATTTGTTTTGTGCAGCCGGGGCAACAGGAATGAGACAAATTTTGGAATATAAAGTGGTAGGTTTATTTTAGCATCCATCTCAACAAGCGTTCTCCTCGTACCTGACTGACTGACTGTTGTATATTGCCAGAATGCAGCACATGGCCGCTTGTCCGGCTCCATAAATTGCCATGAAGGCACTTCGCAAGTAATTACTATCTTCACATTAGAAAAGGTAAGGAGGTTGTAAAAAGGGGGACCAACATCGCAGAGCCAAGCAAAGAAAGACGATCATGGACAGAGACGGGTGGTGTGAACGTCATCAGTGTGAAATAACAAAATACAAGACTACAAAAAGCAATATACAAAAACTTTTATTAATCAAAGATACAATACATAAAGCATAAATACTATATACAAGATGAATATACAAATATTTACAATTCTTGATTTATGTGGGGAAAATTAGAGTCGTGGAGTGAGGTGAGCCGCGAGAGGTCTCAAACTTTTTCGTCGTCAGGAGAGGATAATATAATTAAAAGTATCAGAAATAGCAAGATGGTCACAGTTCAGTGCTTTATTAAAAAATTGTGAATTCAGCTTGTGCAGGTGTTCTTTAATTGAATGCAGTTGAAAGTCATGATGCAATGTGAGTCTCCTCGTACCTTGAGCAGAAGCCCTACTTATACATATGTGTACGTCACGAGGCTCCTCCAATCAGCGATATTAATTGAAATCACGAGGTGACGCTATCTTCTCATCAGGAGTGTTCTTAAGTACTTTATGTAATATGACAGATTTATGAGTTTGGCGATTTGGCGGGCGCCAACAGGTTAATATATTTTATACTAAAGAAAGGATTTCGCCAAAATTTAGGAACAGGGATGCAATTTAGGTTAGGTAGAGAATCGCCAACACATTATTAAGCAATATTATTAGAATTTAATTTAATCAATTGATTTAAAAATATCATTACATATATATATATATATGTAAGATAAAAAATATGAAAGCAAACTTCTAAACTTAATTCACTATAACTTCCATTATTTTCTATTTCATTTGAGAACTTCCTCTATCTGTCCTAAAAATAGCGCTTAAGTCTAAACTGCGTCATTCAAATTAATCATGCGATCTTACTTAACCCATAATGCAGATCCCTCTCGACCAATCACCAAATTGCAAACCAAAACTTTTCTCTTCGCGTGCTTCCATCTTTCATAACTACGCACTTCAGCTTTTGCTCTGTGCTGTGCTAAGATGTAATTTCGCTGGCTTGCTTTCTATCTCAAAAATATCAAAAATGTAAATGTTCTTGAATAGGCATAACTAGAGTGCCAAGGTGATTGAGGCCACAAATATCAATTGGAAATATGGAATTAAAACTGCTTCGACTGCCAATCTTTAAATACTACGCAATAAAAATTCTTCTTCAATATGGGTCTAATCACGCATCTACAGTGTTCCGTCATTTCCTTGTTTTGCTCTTATTATGACATATATATATGCATAATGTTACAGAATAAATCTATTAAAATCTTCACAGAAAAGTCTGATCTAATATTTTCTCAATATTAGAAAAATATATTTAGCATTAGCTACCGTTTGTCAGCCATACTTTGATTTAAAATGTAAAGGTGAAAAAAAAAAAAAAAAAAAAAAAAAAAAGACATATATACACATCGCAACAGATAGGTACTCTGCTTAAAATTAGTTTTTTTTTTTTTTTTTTTTAAATTATATTGATGCAAGTTTTCCCTGGATTTAGATTTTAGGAAATGTTTCCTTTCCCATAGGAATAAATTAAATGTGATAAATATTTGGAAAGTTCAGTTTCCATTTCTGATTAAAAAAAGGCTTTGTATAGGTTTATGTATCACAACTACGGTCGACCAGTTCCCAAATGTTCAAATTCCCTAAAAAGAAGCATTTGGTTAAAATGCGCAATAGAAAATGCTTCCCATATATCCTCCCATATATCTTTTTCATTAATGCCAATAACTAAAACAACCTAGAAATTAAAGGTTTAAAAGTTTTGAACTAAAAATTTCCTTATTTGCAGTATAACAGAAAAGAATATATACTAGTTCATATATGAAAATAATTAAGCCAGAGCTGAACTTACTATCAGCTTTCCACAGCAGGCAAATTGACAGAGCAGCTGAAATATGTTTTTTGTAAAATAACCTAACCGTAAAATCTCATATATACTCAAATCTCAAGTCAAACTTTACATTTGCATGGCAACTTATCTTGCATTCATTAAGATTTCATTAGCTGCTAGGCACTTAACAGCATTATGATTATGAGAAATTTTCTTTCAAATATCATTTGTGGAGAAGAAAATATCCTTTTATAATACTAATGGATTTTATTAATATATTGTTACGTTTTTCTCTTCCTGACACCAGTTGTTACGTTATTTTCTTCGTTCACGTTCGTACGGGGTTCGTCGATTTGGAGTGAATAACGACATTACTTGATGAAGTATCGAAACACTTTTTATTTAGCCAATATTAATCATGACAGCTCCAATAACACTTTTTACAGTCGTCGACGATCTACTATAAACACGCTGGAACAATCAGCGACACAGCCTTCACACTGTCAGGCAATAACGGTGGAGACTTCCTGCAAAGCTCCCGACTCTGCTTAGTCATTGCACTCCTCCCGACTCTTCAGTTCAGTCGTTCCCGGAGCTCAACTCGCTCTCTCGACGATGCACTAACCGCATACACTAACAGACTCCTTTGGTGCACTCAACGACTCACTGTCAACCCGGCTGTCAACTCGATCGACTCCGCAGGGGTTGACTCGCTAGACAAGACACACACTCAATACTACTGACTGACTGCGGACCAGCAGGGCTTATATAGCTTTCGGGTTGTGTTCGAGAACATTCTGAGCTAAACCGGTAAGAATTCGTTCTAGAAGGTTCTCCATCAGTCCATGGCATATCGCCAATTTTGTCGCCAAATGTTGCAACCCTAAAACTGCTTTGCGGGGAAGCCATCTCACCGCGCCTGTACATTTCGCAACAATATCTAAATGAAACTCAAATTTCTGCAGTATAATCATAACGTTTATAGGGGTATGGGGAAGATAAGTTATTCATAGCTGTATTGCATATAAATAGCTGCCTTGCACTGATTTCCAAATGTAAAATAATAAATTGAACGAGCATATTCTGTATTTAATGTATCTCTAATGAAATTTGTAAAAGAAAATATGAAATCTCCATAGTAAACGTTTATTGCTTATCTTTAGAACTGCAAATATCATACTTACACAGTACAACAATTTGAAAATGAGACTGATGCTAGATAAACAAGTAAGTAATATAGTATTAAAAAAATAATGAATCACTGCAAATAAGCAAACTTGATTTATTACAAATAAATTTTCATTAGAATAATTGACGTTTTGCATCATCATATTAAACATTTACCTTGCTCTTTTCCTATAGAGTACAAAAAAATATTGCTCTTTATTCTATTTCATTTATTTTTAAAAAGTGAACATAATATGCAGGTTAATTCATTTTCAGGCTCTAAAATCCCTGTTCTAAGATATGACCTAAACAGAAAATACTCATACAAAAAATTCTATTTTTCAGCTATTAAATGGCCGATGGGCCTTGTCTCGCATTATAATTCTTGCTTTTTATTTGATACATTGTGTATAATATAAAGCTTATAATAAATATAATGTTTTAAACTGATATCTTATTTTTTCACAGACCATCAAAATGCTGGCTCTGGTTGTTATATGCTTTGCCATGTGCTGGCTGCCACTTAATGTTTATTACATACTTCAAGAATTCTTGGGTTCAAAATTTACCTATAGTACATCAAAAGGAACCCAAAGATCTACTATTTTTTTCCTTTGCCACTGGCTAGCCATGAGTTCTGTAAGTTACAATCCTTTCATCTATTGCTGGATGAATAAGCAGTTTAGGTCTGGTGCTATTTCATGTTTTCTCTGCCTTCAGACTTTTGGAAGGAAACTAAGCAATAGCTTCAGATCTACATTAGAAGTCCAGTTAATAGATAAGCAGTGCAACAAAGAAGCATCTTCTGAATATAGATCAGAAAGTCTACAAAGTCAGAAGAATACTTCATGTTACTCAAGAAAAGTATTGACTGCAGAAAGAATAACAAAGAGACCACAGATGTGTATTCTTAATATGGTTCCCTTGAAACCACACATTCTTAAAAAGAATATGAGCAATTCTGAACTTAATTTCATGAAAGAAAATGGAATGCAACATCATTCCGCTGAAAATTTATGTATGAATGATAATGATGCTAAAGAGAAAAACAGCTATTCTCTGAAGAGATCAGGATCATGCAACAACAGTTTGCTTAAGATAACAGAGCATCAATTATTGTTAAAACATCTTGATACAAGGAAAATAACTGTATTCTAGGACTGTGTACAAATATATTTTAGGCAAATGAGCCGTTTCTGCAGGACTAACTATTTTTCAGAAAATTAATCATTTACATGTAGTAGTATTTAAATCCTGTTCTTTAGACTTTGAGTAAAAATGTTCTGACTAAATGTTTCAAATTTCTATGTATTATCATCATTATATGAATGTGAATTAAAAAAAACTTTATGATGCTTTTGTTATTTGAGAAATCTGCTTGTATAACTAAATTACAAAAATGAGTAATTATATATGTATATATTATGGGATGGGGAAAAAATTCTGTTTCCCATTTTTTTATCACTATACCCCAGAAAATTGCTGTTCGCCTAGTTCAGCAAGATGAAAAAAATAATTTTCAAATAAAAATGTTTGTGCATCACACTCAAAGTTTTGAAAAATGGTTCAATTTTGCTGTTTTCCGTAATTTTTTTTACAGTTAAACTTACTGTTATTAAAACAGGGTTCGTACACATTTCTGCACACGGAAATTAAGTACTTTTATGGACTTTTAAGGACCATTAATGAAAAAATTAAGGACCTATCAGCAAATGGGAACTGAATAAAATTCAATTAAAAATATTATCTATACCTGAATTTCACTTTTGTAATACCATCCTAAAAATAAAATAGATTCCTAAGTAGTATGCATTATTACTAAACATGAATTAATTAACATAATTACTAATAAGTGTGAGAATAAAATAAACGTTAAGCAATTTATCAAGTAGCATTAAATATTTTACACTTACAATAGTTGGACATATTTGAAAGAAGATATGTGACATTTACGTTTTACTAACAGTCAGCTTTATGTTGAATTTTTTCCACATACTTAGTTAGTCTAGAGGTTTAGTAAATAGCAGGTAGATTTTATGTCAAATGGCATAGGTTAAAATGAGAATTAAGATCATAATCAACATGATTCATAACAAAAGACTGAATGTTGTTACCGCTGCTGATTAGAAAAAACCTGAAAGGCCAACTGTGTAGGCATGGTTGGCAAGTTTTGAAAGTTAGTTGGGCTGTGTCTGATGCAGTTTGTGCCATAGCTTCTTGTAGAGTTCAAGGATTGTAACCCAGTTAATATACTTTAAAGTTCCACTAAAGCACCACAGGTGATAAGTTGTTTTGTAATATTTCAGGTCTCACTAGATGCAAAGAATAAGTTTTACATGAATTTTTCACAATTTTGTGTTTTATCTTGTGACCACGGTAAGGATTAATGAAAGACAATAACTTGCTTTAATATGTAGAGATAATTTTTAAAGGTAAGCAGTTAGTTATAAATAATTAAATCAGGTAGTTTGATAACATTAGTCATTATGGATTTACATGACCACTATTAAATTTTATTTTTTAACAATATTTGTTAAAATAGCCCTATTAAAATCAAAATCTAATAAAATTTCACAGTTTAAAATACATGTAATTTATGATATTGATTCTTAAATGATTAGGATACTTATACATTAAAAGCTACAAAACATTTATTTTTTGTAACAACAACACTCAACAAAATATTTATTCGACATTCTAATTTGAAGCCTTCCCAAACATTTTGGGTAGTTTATATCGATTTCCTTCTCTTTAAGCATTTTTTCTAACAATTACAGATTTGTCTCAATGTGCAAACCAATGCTCTCGCTAGTTTCTGTGTGCCTTTATCTCCTAACTTGTCAACCTCTCCACAATGTACCTATGAGGGTTTACTTGATCTGGTAGAAGTTAAATAGTCCAAAACCCTGACAGACGTAAAGCATATGATCGTTATGTAACTACAATATCAGAGAAAGGTTTAAATAAGCCTCTTATTTAAAAAGAATTTCGAACATAAAGGCATGTTCTGATGCTAACAAAATCAATTACATCTCACGGTGAAGTAATTAAACAAGAATAGTCAAATTCGAACTAAAAATGTGGAGTAGTGGTCAAAGATTATACAATTTAATTTTAATTTAATCTGGCTCAGTAACTCTATCATATGAGGAAATAGAAATGGGAAATTATAGTAAAGGCTGAAATCATTAACAGTTGGGTAATTTACATAATAATAACTGCACATATCTTTGAAGAATAATTTTCTTTGTGTACTCAGTTTCTTTCTTCAACATGTTTCCTTTTCATTTTAGAATTTTTTGATTTAATTAAGGATTTCTGTTATTTACCAATGTTATGATGTTTTAAAAAAATCGTCGAAAAATTCTGAGATCTCGGAATAAAAAATTTTCTATAGAAGCTGATCTTAAAATCGCCAAAATATTGATAAGTCGCCAAATTTAGAACCGTTTAATAAAAGAATTCACATCCCCAAAGCGAAAAGTTGTTTAAAAGCTCTTTATTAAAAAAATGAATTTCAAAATGCTTATGTTTCACTTCTTGCTTAGAAACTTGAATATTCCATCATTTTTATTAAAAATAGAAATAAATTATAACCGATTCAAAAGATAACCATATATGCCAGTGAATCGCCAAAAATATTCCCCCAACATGCCAATTCACACTCAAAATGGCAGTCATAAAAACAGACAGAAATTTCAGATGATTCAAATTAAGGACCTTCTGCTGAGTTTAGCCAAAATTAAGGACTTTTAAGGACCAAAAATCGATTCCAAAAAATCTAAGGACTCTTAAGGACTGTACGAACCCTGTAAAATAAGTAGGTTCTAATGTGAGTTTTGGGACATGAGGAACATGAAAAAAGTTAAAAACCTGCAATTTTAAATTATTTATTGTTGCGCAAAAAGCTCAAAAACACCAATTTTTTGTGACAATAGTAATATGCTATATATTGTTAGTGCTGAGTTAAATTATAGGGAACCCAATGGCAAACTAGATTTTTCATATGCAATTCTTCATGAATACTTTTGTGTATAATGACAGATCCAATGCTAACTTCCTTCTGTATTATTTGGTAGGTGCAGCGATTATCATCGATTAACAATTTCTGTATGGAAGACACACTATTCGGGATTATTGCTGACAATGGCTTTACTGGGTGTTCTTCATTCTGAAGAGAGCTGCGAGCTCTATGAAATTCTGCAAACCCTCTAAATACAGCAACATGAGATGGACTTTCATATGCTAAACTACTTGGTTTTGGTCAATAACAAATCACCTACTACTTCACACTTTTAAATCTAACAGCCGATTTTTTCTTGGGACTTACCATCTGGTGTATCTCAAAAATTTCAAATAAAACTCTATCTTCTGTAAGTGACCTATATATAACACACTTCTCCAGTTCAAAATTAAAAAAAAGCAAAAATTTCACAGATGGTCCAAATATAGTTTTTGAGGCCATCAGAACATGTTAATATCAAACTCAAAATTTAATGCAAGGCATCAACCAGTAATTCAGCAGAATGCTTTCTTTGCTTATCCCAAAAATTTTATCCTTGCAATAACTCTGGATGAAAGAAGACATATCAGAGAACTAGGGCTGTAATGATTCTTGAAAACTCGATCATTTAACAAGGGAAAGATTATATGAAGCTTCACCACACCAAAACTCAACTTCAAAGAAACAGACTATGTCAAAACAATTTGGTGGGATAGTTGCAATATCTCTCCTTCTCCAATATTAGGGAACATTATGGATGATGACATCAAAATTCTATCAAATTTTGACACATCACTGCCAACAGATTCTCAAAGTTTTCCTTGTCATACTCAAGCTAGAACGGTAAGTCAAGCTTCTGACTGCAGCATCTAAAAAACACATGTAACACTGATACAAGAGGCTGCTTGATAAAGTCTATTAAAAGATATTATGTCACAATTTTCCTAAAAAACTAACTTTAATGTGTACTCTTTTGAATAAGAAAATTAAAAATGTATTCGCAGTTAAATTACTAAATATCAAAAATTTAAATTATTAGATATAAAAAATATTTCTGTTTTTACTAGAAACTGTTTTTTGAACTTTTTGCACAAACAATAAATAATTTGAAATTACAGATTAAAAAAAAAATTTTGTGCTCCTTAGACCCTAAAAATCACATTAGGAACAACTGCATTTCGATAACAGTGAAATTAGTAATTATAAAAAAAATTGATAAACAGCAGCAAAATCTCACTACTTTTCAAAACTTTGAGTGTGGTGCATAATTGGAAGATATATTTTTGTATGAAAACTTTTTTTCATTTTCCATAACTAGGCGACGGCAACTTTTTTGGAATATGGTGGTAGAAAACTTTTAAAAAAGTGCTTTTTCGGCCCACCCTACTATACATTTATCAATACTTTTTCAAATGCATAAAAGACTGGTTTTTTTAAACACCGACCGATCTATTTCAATTTAAACTAGATTTTGAATTATATTGATGAAGCTTGCCAGTAAATTTTATTCGTCATTATATTAATTTATCCCTTGAATACTCTACCTACAAATATTCAAGCAAAGATTAAATATTCTGCAGCATATTTTTTAAATAGACTGATTTTCTTCAATGTAATGAGAGCATACGAAAAAAAAAAAAAAATTCAGCCAACAATAAACACTTTATGGCATTTGTATGAAAAATTTATAAATATCCAATGTTATGTACAATGATAAACACTAAACACAATTGATAAACTAGATACTCAAAAATATCTTTAAATAAATTGTTTTGATTAAAAACATATCAAACTTTTTAAAATGCACATTTTTTCATGCATGACAGATGAGATTCTTTAATATATGAGGAGCAAATATATTGGCACTATTTTTCAGGCTAATTCATTCTTATTTAACTTTAAATCTCAGAAATTTACATTAAATAAATAACAAATAATTCTTTAGTCCTTTAAACAGGAATCACCTAGATACATTTTCATGACCATCACTACCATTAAGCAAACTAACACTTTCGGGTAGTTTTAAAGATTTATCTTTTGGTAGTTCTTTCTGAGGTATTCCATAATTTTTTATATTATCTGCTTTAGACAGATGTCCAAGAGAGCTATGACATGGCTTTGCATTTAATTCTAAAGCTTCAGGTTCCTTAGAGTTTTGAGTAAAAGAAGTGGCTCTTCTAAACTTAGATTTCAATTTTTGAAAAATATTCTCCTTATCAGATCCTTGTGGTAGTGAAGTTAATGAAAGTCCCTTCTTTCCATCAAAAGGACCTTCAAAAACATCATCTAACTCATCTTCATCTAAACATTTAGAGGAGCCAGCTGGTGATGGTGGTGGCACTTCATTATGTGGTGATCTCCTTCCAGAGGGAGGACAGCATGTCTGAGCAACAGCGATACTTTTCTTTGAATTAAAAGATCCCATTCTTTTAAGAAACTGTGTTTTGGCACATGTCTGTGGTTCAAGAACAGGTTTAACATGAGACACTTCATTCTGAGTGGGTAAGTTTTGCACTGGTGCACTATCTTGATGTACCTGCTGTGTAGGAAACAGGTTATATTCATCATAAGAACGGTGACCTGCATCTGTGAATTCACTGTCTGACATGATTATAGGTAAAAATTCTGTTTCACTGGCACTGTCAAGTCGAGGATGCATAGGAAGCAAGTTCTGTTGATATTGGCTTAGCACTGCATCAGTTCCTTGATACTGCCCATAAGGCAAGAAAGGCATTGGATATGGAGAATAACCAAAATCTGATGGAGCAGGATAACCAGGATAGATTCCATTGAAAGATGGATACATACTTCCTCCCATATATCCAAAAGGTATACCATTCATTAAATCATAACTTTGACTGAAAACAGGTGGACGAATCAACCCAGCTACTGGATTTGGCAGACTCTGAGTTAATGGAATTGGAGTAAATCTTTGTCCAGGGTTAGAGTTTCCCAGGGCAGAAGCTACATTTCTGCCATCCAGGCGATGCGAGTTGTCAGTCATACCATGAGTAAAAGGTGGATTGATAGTTTGTCTCTGAATGAGAGTTCTGTTTGGATGGTGAGGTAAAAATGTATTAGGCAAAAAGGCAGTATTAGCTATGGATGGCTGTGGACCCAAATCACCTGTGCTGGTTGATTTTGTAACTTTTGCTCCCATGCCAGCATTTTTAGCTGCTGCAGCAACAATTGAAGCTGCCATAAGAGAGCTCTGGAGTGATGTATCACTTCCTCTTCTACTACCTGGAAACCACGGGGCTATGCGGTTGGCTTTCAGAAATCTCTCTCGTTCTTTCCTAGTTTTGCGTTTTTGATGTCGTAATGCTGTAACATATTCTTGCTCACTGATCTGCATGCTCAAAGAATCTAGATTTTGTTGATTGAATGAATCAACAGATATGTGTCGACTGACATCTGAAAAAGATATCATAAATTATAAAATTAAATTAAGTTATATTTTTTCTGATAAAATCAAAGCACTCTGATGTAAAATAAAAACTAATACTGAAAGTAAAAATTAACATGTATATTTGGAAAAGCTCATGAAGGAAGATGAATGCCTCACCAATGGTCACATATTTGTGAGTATCCATAATGACAGTATGACTCACTAAACATACTATTCCAATTTCAACATGTTAGCATCCTAACAAATGGTGTCTAGGTCTCTCATATTCCTCTTTTGCTGTCACTAGACAAGCAGGAAAACATTCAGACAGATGTATTTAAAGCAACCCCCTCCGAAGGTATAACAAACAATAACATAGCAGGAACTGGAATCCATGCTTATTGCCCTAGAAGCCACTTCCATTAACTGACATTTTAATTAAATGGTATGCATTTATTCTAGTAAAGTCAAAGGATTTATTAGTGCATTTACATACACGAAGTGATTACGGTTAAAATTTTGAGTAGCTCAACTATTTTTACTCAATCAGAAGAAGATTGTTATCATTACGAATACATTACCTTGCTATCTAAAATATTTTTTCATATTTCTATTAATGAATGAAAAGTTATGACAACAAAGAACAAAGTAATTAGAAATTCAGTTAATTTATTTATCATTAATTTCAGTACATTTATTAATACCACAACACTACTGCATTCAAAATTTAATTTCAGAAATCCAGCCTTATTTTTAGAGAACAGTCAGTTAACTATAACAACAATATGGCATATAATGAATTTAATTGTATAAACATAAAATGTTTTAAAGCGGCAATTATTTATGATTTTGACATATAAGAAATCATTACTATAATTTGATTAAATAAAGTTTTCAAAATTTTTATACCAGTCAAAAAAATAAAATGCAATTGATTCTAATTGATTTAACTTACACATGACTTGCTTTAATCAATAGATTAGAAAATATTCTGGACATTTAAAATAATTTGAAAAACTGGCAGATAAATTACAACTGTTTCAAATATCAGGAAAAGTGAATACATTAGGTACATCATGAATTCATAAAATGTAAGTAGCTACTAGCTATTTTGCCATTTATTGCCATAAATTAAACACAAATGTATAATGAAAATTGAAATTCATCAATAACATTAGCACACAAATATTTAGACTTCATATGACATCATTGGCAATATAAAAAATGTAAGCAAATGCAAAGGATACAACAAAAGATTAACTGTAGTGCATTACACTACTGAAAAAATTCAACAGCTAAACTTATGCTATTAGTACAAAGTGAACTGCGGTATTGTGATTATCTGCTAAAAATGCAATGCATGATTTTGGTCATTCTTGCCTGATTACATCTAAGTACATCTTAGTTTTCAGTATGTTTATTACATAACTATACAGCTTAAAAATTTCATCATCTCCCACAAATACAAATTCTTATTTTCACATGTCCTTCACATATATTTTTTGGCTTTTGTAGCATCTTAGTTAAATAAGCTTTTATTGTTCTTTTATCTTAGGGTTGACTTTTTGTTCAACAATATTGGTTTGCCATGGAACATGCATTTAATACTCAGTTTTTAACTATATTATTATATAGACAAATATTAATAATTGTCTTCATGTTCTGACATGATCAGGCAATACAAAGGCCACATATGAAACTCTTCGTATCAGGTAGGAGGTGGGTCTGCCAGGCAAGAGTTCCAGAAAGAATAGAATATGCCAGTTCTGCCAAATGCCTTGAGATTCCACATTTCCCGAGATGGTAGACTTAAAATAAATTTATCTTTTTACTACCACTTTACTGACCAGTCGAGGGTCACCACTTCATGTGGCCAAAAACCATAACAGCAAGTTAACATGAACAATGAGGTAGCATATTTAATTTATTCAACATCTTAAGCTATATGTAAATATTTTACAAGATAATGTCTGTGGTTTCTCCATACAGAACAAAAAAGGATTAGACAAAAATGAAATATAAAGTAGCCCAAAAAAAGTCTATTCTGTGGGTAAAGTCAGTAGAACAATATGAATACGATCTTTTTAAAAAGGTCTGTCCATTAGTAGGATATAAGACTTTAGGAAGTTTCTCTTTGGTGCAGGGCGATACTCTGATGAAATGCAAACAGCCTTGTCACTGCTCCTGGCTGTCCAAGCAAGCACCTCTCAAGGCAGGTAGTGGAAAATCCAACCATCAGCTTTCAGATCTCTGTTCAAACAGGAAAGAATACTCTTCGCAGAGCAAACTAAAATTGCACTTGAGAGAGAGAGAAACACATGAGAGAAGGTTTCAGTCTTTCTACTCTCTTTCTGGAGCTGTATGCCCTGTTTTTGTTCAAGATGGCCTTGGCTTGTCGGGATGACATCTGAATTCTCATTTGCCTGAAAATTTTCAGTGTCTTTCAAATGGCAAGACCATCTGACTGATTTTTAATATAATGATAACAGGCCTGGGAAATCTCCATGAGAATTCTCCGGCCCTGACTTGCGACTCAAACTTGGTGGTCAATGACACTACATAACAAAACACCTATAAACAGAGGAGTGGAAATTTTAAATGAAGGACTCTCACGATTTTCTTAATGAAATAATGTTTCTCCTTTAAACCTACACGAAGGAAACAAAAGACTTGAGACTGGTACAGAATTACAGGTTATGTTCAGCTTTCCCGAGAATTGTTAAGTGGTCATTAGGAAATAACCTTTTCCCAGAATTTCATGGGGGGTCATTAGAAAACAGTTGAAGACATTACACTGTGTTTTTTTATTATTTCCCAAAGTTAAATCTTGCTTAAAAAGAACTCATTTTACCTCAGTCGAAGAGGTTCAAGGCAAGAACGGAGAATCTCCTGAAGGGCCTTCCAAAAACCTCATTCCAGAGCTGTTACCAGCAATGTCAGCACCGAATGCAGAAGGGGACCGCTTTGAAGGTGATAATGTCACAGAGAACTGATTTTGCAAGTACAATGATTTACTGGACCAGTCTTTCTTTCTCTCTTTTTTTTTGGGGGGGGAGGGGTGCGTGTGTGTCACCTTGTATATGCATCCACTGAATGCAATGATACACATTCAGAAGTTTAAAGCATAACAGATTACATCTTTTCTATTTGAAGTCACAACTAGGGAAAAGAAAAAAAAAAAAAAAAATTATGTCATCCTGACAGACTTGTAATGAACAGTTTCTCTATTTCTTGTAAGGAACAGTATTTCTCCATAGAGGAATGTATTTTTATATGATTCATCATTAGAAGCACTTGAATTTTATTATGTGGATTTGAATATTATTATGTGGAATTCCCTTTTTAACTTTTTTACCGTTCCATAACTGTTTCGGCCACCAGAGCTCTCTGCCTGTCTGTTAGATATTATTTCGCAATGCACAGATTGTATGCGTAGCTCGCATTTTGTTTCTTGCATTCTTGCAAATGCTAATTGTAACTCTGTCGTTTTACTTTGCGCTGTGTTGTGTTCGAAAGTTCAAACCGCGAATAAAGGTTAAAATTTACAGTCCACTCGCAGTGATGTATTCTTAGGTTTATTAATTTAAAGTTAAGATACCGCTTCGCTACATTATTTGGTCGTCCTATGCCGGAGCTTCGAGAAAAACCCGCGCTTGTGAATAAGAATTCTACGTGTCCGTAATGGAGTTGATAATGCAATTTCGGTTTAGAATTCTCAAGAGTTACGGAATGGATACATTGTTCGAGGTGAGTGAAATAGTTAACGCATTTTAATTGCATTTCAGATTTCCTTATTGCTACTATTGTTGTGTTTAAAGTATTAGTAAAATCGTGAATTTAGAATATTTTCAAAATGTCAGATATAGAAAAAAAAAGCGAAAGAAAATTTTGAAAACACAGTTAACTAAATTCATTGAGAGAATAAATTATGATAACTTAGATAATGCTGAAGCTGAATTAATCTTAGAAAAATGTAAATCTTTAAGGAAGATTTTAAATCTGTATTTAGAGAAATTTATACAAATTGTGATGATGAAAAAATAGACACTTTCGTTGAGGAAGAACAGTCGATTTTAGAGAAAATTGAGGAGGTTCACTTAAAATTATTCGTAAGTTAAAGGTTTACAAGGTCGTAAATGCAAATGGCGACAAACCTGTCGTACCTGAATCAATCTCTGAAAGTTTTAAAGTTACCGAAATTATCTTTACCCACATTTAGCGGAAATTTAACTGAATGGATAACATTTAAAGATTTATTTAACGCTAGTGTTTCGCAACAATCCAAATCTTTCTGGAGCTCAAAAATTACAATATTTAAAGAGTTCTTTGAAAAATGATGCTTATCGCATTATTCAGTCAATTCCCATAGCTGATCAAAATTTCAGTATTGCTTGGAATTTACTAGAAGAGAGATTTTCTAATAAGAGAGAACAGATATTTGCTTTTATTAAAAAAATTCTTAACGTTTCACAAATACAAAAGGAATCTGCATCCTCGATATTAAGTTTAGTAGATAACGTAAACGAAATAATTTGCTCATTGGAAATATTAGATCAAAGGATAGATAATTTTAGTGATACTTTGTTGTTGTATATTATTTTGCAAAAAATTGACGTTTCGACAAAGTTGTGGTGGGAGCGTCAATTAAAAAAAGACGAAATACCAAAGTTGAATGATTTGACAGAATTTTTGAAGAATTACGCTAGAACATTGCAGAACAGTAAACCTTTAGTTAGTAAAACGCATAAATCAGATAAACCAGTGTATAATAGAGTTACTTCTCTAATTACTAATTCTACCTGCTTATTTTGTAAAGAAGATCATTTTTTACACAGGTGTTCTAATTTTTTAAATTTACCAGTGCAAAAACGAATAGAGTTTGTTAAGACTAATAAACTTTGTTTTAATTTGCTTCGTCTAATGTCTATAAAGTTAAAATGTGTAAGAGTGCAAACACCTGCAAGCATTGTTTTAAGCATCATCATAGCATTTTGCATTTAGAAAATAATTTCAAACCAAAAATGCA